TGAAGCACCCTTCATTATTTTCTCAACTCGTGCAATTGCAGTATAATTATTAGATAACATGCCTATAGATTCGTGTTAAGTAATTGTTGTGTGATTATTAGATAACATGCATATAGGTTCGTGTTAAGTAATTAAGATGTGTTTCTACCAATACACAACTAGATACCATGTCTATAGGGGCCTTAATTGATTAACTAATTGGTTGTTTGTGGTTTTTATCACACTGCCCGCCTACACAACATGCATATAGGTATAAACCTGACGAATATGTGTTCAAATACCAACTATTAGAGAACCTACCTATATGATACTACTACTCGCTTAGAAATCATGCATATAGGAACTTAAACACTTCACTCTCATTACATATCCTATTCCCGCACACTATCAGAAACATGTCTTTATGAACCCGTGTGTTTCACTTCTTCCCATGCTTACTTCTATACACTAGTAGATAACATGCCTATAGGAATGAAACACCCTTCATTATGTTCTCAACTCGTGCAATTGCAGTGTGATTATTAGATAACATGCCAATAGGATCGTGTTAAGTAATTAAGATATGCTTCCACCAATACACATCTAGATACCATGTCGATAGGTCCTTAATTGATTAACTAATTAGTTGTTTGTTGTTCTTTTCACACTGTTCGCTTAGAAAACATGCTTATAGGAATAAAAATGAATTATATGTGTTTAAATACCTCCTAGTGGGGAACCTTCCTATATGATACTACTACTCACTTAGAAATCATGCATATAGGAACTTAAGCACTTCACTCGCTTTCCATGTCCTATTCCTACACATTTATCAGAAACATGTTTATATGAACTTGTGTGTTTTATTTCTTCACATGCTTACTTCTATGCATTATTAGATAACACGCCTATAGGAATGAAACACCTTCTAATATTTTCTCAACTTATGCAATTACAGTGTGATTATTATATAACATGCCTATAGGATCGTGTTAAGTAATTAAGATGTGCTTCCACCAATACACATCTATATACCATTTCTCTATGGCCTTATATGATTAACTAATTGGTTGTTTGTGGTTCTTATCACACTGCCCACCTAGACAATATGCCTATAGGAATATACATGACGAATATGTGTTAAAATACCAACTATTACAGAATCTGCCTATATGATACTGCTACTCGCTTAGAAATCATGCATATAGGAACTTAAGCACTTCACTCGCTTTACATGTCCTATTCCCGCACAGTTATCAGAAACATATCTGTATGAACTCATGTGTTTCACTTCTTCACATGCTTACTTCTATGCACTATTAGATAACATGCCTATAGGAATGAAACACCTTTCAATATTTTCTCAACTTGTGCAATTATAGTGTGATTATTATATAACATGCCTATAGGATCGTGTTAATTAATTAAGATGTGCTTCCACCAATGCACATCAAGATACCATTTCTATATGGCATTAATTGATTACCTAATTGGTTGTTTGTGGTTCTTATCACACTGCCCACCTAGACAACATCCCTATAGGAATAATCATGTTGAATACGTGTTCAAATACCAACTATTAGAGAACCTGCCTATATGATACTCCTACTCGCTTAGAAATCATGCATATATGAACTTATGCACTTCGCACTGCTTACATGTCCTATTTCCGCACACTATCAGAAATATGTCTTTAAGAACTTGTGTGTTTCACTTCTTCCCATGCTTACTTCTATGTACTATATGATAGCAAGCCTATAGGAATGAAACACCCTTCATTATTTTCTCAACTTATGCAATTGCAGTGTGATTATTAGATAACATGCCTATAAGTCCGTGTTAAGTAATTAAGATGTGTTTCTACCAATACACAACTAGATACCACGTCTATAGGGCCTTAATTGATTAACTAATTGGTTGTTTGTGGTTCTTATCACACTGGTCGCCTAGACAACATGCCTATAGGAATAAACATGACGAATATGTGTTCAAATACCAATTATTAGAGAACTGCCTATATGATACTGCTACTCGCTTAGAAATCATGCATATATGAACGTAAGCACTTCACTCTATTTACATTTCATATTCCCACACTCTATAAGAAATATGTCTTTATGAACCTATGTGTTTCACTTCTTCCCATGCTTACTTCTATGCACTACTAGATAACATGCCTAAAGGATTGAATCACCCTTAAATATTTTCTCAACTCGTGCCATTGCAGTGTGATTATTAGATTACATGCCTATAGAATCGTGTTATGTAATTGCAGTGTGATTATTAGATAACATGCCTATAGGTTCTTGTTAAGTAACATGCCTATAGGTTCTTGTGCTACTGATAAACAAATTGCTGACATCTTTACTAAAGCACTAAATAGAGAAAGCTTTGAAAGGAACATGTTAGAACTAGGGATGATTAAGATCATCTAATAGGACCAGCTAAGAATGCACAATGAAAAAAAATTAAAAAAAATTGAAAAAAACATTTTTTTTTGGCTAGGAAATCTGGAACTTGTGTAAATATCTTGATTGTTTTTACTCAGCTTCATATTGTAAATAGTATACTCCTGTGACATGTGTTGATATGACTCACTGATCTCTAACAAAATTTTATCTATTGTGGTAAATTGAGGCATGATCAAGAGAATTCTTAATGAAGAACCGGGTTCATCAGTATTTGGTTCATCTGAATGACAAGGTATGTTTTCTATACTCTGCACAATTATAAATATAAATATTTAAATCATGAGCAGAGTCCTACCATTGTTCAACACATTAGAAAATCCTATCTGTTTGTTTTTGAACCAATTCCATCCTTATTAGAATTCTTACCACAAAAAATGCTTAAAATCTAGGAAAGCCTAACCGTTCATTCAACCTGCAATTTCAGGTTGATTAGACCACTATTGACAGCTAAATCGACCGTTATCCATTAAATGACTCTTTCCCTTTAAATATCCATTATTACCTTCTGCCACCCTCATTATTCGAAACCGTCAAAAATCCTTTTTCACTCTAAATTGTTTTCCTCTCCAAAAGCCTAACTCACAAACTCTCTCAAGCCATCAGCTACAATGTCAAACCCTCAAGCTAACCCAGGGAATCCTCCACCACTATCCCCTTCTGGTTCCTCCATGCCTTCTCCACCCATTACAAACCCCCAGCATAAGAAAAGACGTGTTAAAATGCTAGCCTGAAAAACTGTAGCCTCAGGTGTATTGTCAAAGAAATTAAATGCACAATTGAAGGCTACACAAGCCCAAGATTCTGAGAAGTCAGACGATTCGTTCAAATCTGCGAGTGAGGGGGAAGGACCTGGGTCTTCTGACCCTAAGAAGACTCAAAACTTTCCTTCAAAGGTAAGTTCTGCTTTGGCTGAAAATTTAGAAAATAGGTTTGTTTTGGTTGGGCCTATTAGGGATGTGAAAATGCCTAAATTAGGAAGGAATGGAGGTAAAAAGAAAATTGAAAAAGAAAAAGAGAGAGAGGGTGTATGTGGTGATGTGAGGGGAAAAGTGAAACGAGTGGTTGGTTCTTCTCCCACTTCTTAATTGTCGTTACTAGCTATCTGTGGGGTTGCACAGGCAACTGTGGAAGAAAGTGGCAAGAAGTCAAGGGGAAGTGGTTCAGGGGAGGCTGCTGAATGGTTGGTTAATCTAAGTTCACAGGCAGATGAACCTGGTTCATCTATTTCTGAATTGCTGTTACTAGCTATTTATGGGGTTATACAGGCAACTATGGAAGAAAGTGTCAAGAAGTCAGGGGGAAGTGGTTTAGGGGAGGCTGCTGAAGGGTTGGTTAATCTAAGTTCACAGGCAGATGAATCTTTTTCATCTATTGAGGAGGCCCTAGCAGACCTTCTGAAGAAAGTAGGTGTCAGTTATGATTTAAAGAAAAGGAGAAATCCAACACCAAAAGCCCCAAGTGCTGCTAAACCTTCCAAGAAACGAAAGTCTTCCTCCCCAATAACTACTGAAACTCCCTTGCCAAGGGAAGAGCCACAAGAAGCAAGGTGAAAAAGAGTGAGAGTGACCTACAAAAGGCTTTGGCTGAAAGTAAGAAGAAGAGAATGGATAAAGGAAGAGGTAGGGTAGCAGAGTCCTCTGAAGCTATTGATGTTGAGAAGATGGAACAGGTCCATCAAGAGGACCATACAACAATGGAGGTTCAAACTCCCAAGCCCAAAAAGACTAAGACCTCTTCCAAGAAGTCTTCATATGTGTCTAAGGCTGTTGAACCTTCATTGGTCAAAAGGACAAGGTCTGCAATGAAAAGCAAACAAGCTAGAGTTTCTGAAGATGAGGAATGGAGTGGTGAAGAAGAAAGTGAGTCTGATGGTGAACAAGACAAGCTGTCCAAGTTTGATGGTGAACCAGGAATGGTTCGTTTGGTTGATGCCCTAGCTATCAGGGCTGGAAGGACATGGTCCTTCAGATGGATGGAAGGCTAGCCAGGAATGAGGTCATTGAATTCATGGCAAATGCTGAGGTCAAAGATGGCAGAGTCACTAGCCAAGTAAAAGGAGTGCAAGTGACATTTGATGCAGAAAAGCTGGGAGAGATTCTTGACATCCCTACTGAGGGAAATGATGACTACCCAAGGCAAAGATGGCCAAGTTTGGATTCCCTTCCTCCTGCCCTGGAAATCACTAGGAGATTCTGTGATGTTGAAGAAGTGAATGAGGCCAAGTTTGTGCACAAGAGTGAAATGAAGCCACAGCACAAAGTCCTCTTTGAGTTTGTCAACAACTGCCTACTGCCCGTCGTTAAATAGTTTTAGCGACCAGCCTTCTCCTCCCTAATAGATGATAAATATATTATGGAAAATATACATTTTCCGGTCGTTAACCAATTTTAGCGACCAACCTTTAACTGGTCGTAGATTATCTTTTAGAGACGAGCAGCACTGGTCCCTATTTAAAATAATTGTATTAACTATAACGACCATATTTCTGGTTTCTTATTAACCACAAGTAATATTAAAGCTCGATGTCACAAAACATTAATTTTTATCAATAAATATCAAATTGCTATATAAAAAGTTATTAATTACAATGTTGATATCCCATGATTTTAGTTTCAATATTTTCTCAACACCTTAGCAAAAAATGATAGCTAACATCCTGAGCTAGACTATGATATCATGTTTTACATAACATTCCTAGAAAAATAATAATGAGCTTGTGTTTCTTTTAAACATGTATCTTGAGTTGTAGCTTCAATCTTCAAAACCTGTAAGTACAAAATTTTGAAAAAAAGATAAATAACTATTGATAAAATAATATATGTAAATTTATACTAGAAATGGTTAAATCGTTTACCCTAAAAACAGTCTAAATTCATCAGGTATTATCCAACAACATGAACAAGGCTACAAGAATATAAGAAAATTAATTATAAAAGTATTGGAACGGTAAATTAAACTTCGATTCCATATTAAAAGAAGAGGAGAAGGTTTATTTTGTTATTTTATATAAGTCCAGCTACTTTCACCAGAACATATCATGTGTCGCGTCAAGTGCAACTAACTGAATATATTCTCCTTCTTCCTTTTTATTTTGCTATGTATGTTTTTTTTGCCTTTTCCAAAGTTAAAGTCTACATTCTTCATCAAAATTTGCTGGAATTGACAATTTAGGCTCTTCGAGTAACAAGTCACACATGAATCTTGAAACAAGAAACAACTAATTATTTGTACATGAACCTACACAAGGACTTAAAATCAATGGCAGAAGCAAAAAAGGCAGACAAAGTAATTGCACTTCAAAAATATTTTATTGATAATATTACTGCTATAGACACTTGTAGGGAAGAATTCCGTGGCATGATGTGTCTTAGTTTTTCTCTAGATATCTTATGGTGGCAAACAATCAAAGTAACTCCAACTTTGCCTCTTAAGATAGTGGAACCAGAATAATTCTCCTCTCAGTCAACCTCGAGTTACTTCGAGTCAACCAGAACTTCGAGTTACTAGAAGGATATGAAAGGAATAGCAAAATCCAGTCAACTTCTTTTAGTTTTCATAACTATTACTCCTTTGTAAAAGAAGTTGCAATTCATGAACACTTGATCAACTTACAAAAACTATAAGAACAAGACCTCTGGCATTTGCCAGAAAGTTTTGTGCCAGTTACTTTGCTGCAAGGAATTGCAAATTTGCTTTGAACTTTACGAGATTATTCATCTTTTCCCCTCTTGTCTTACTTATCTTTATGTAAGAAGGTGAAGAGCTTCCCCACTCCAAATTCTTTTAGAATAGTATTTTCAACATAGTTGGTCTAGTTAATACTACTACAAATGAGAATTAGTCTTAGAGTCACAAAACATGGCAAAGTTAATTCAGAATAGTATTAATTCTGCATCAACTTACATATGAGTTAATATTCTTCCTAATTTCCTAAGAGCATCTGCTACAAAAAAGGAACCACTATTTGGGGAGTTTGAAGGGAATTTTCCTCCACCAAACATGACAGATAAACAGGAGTATAAAACTCGTAGTTTACTCACTAGCATCATTACTCAGTGGACGAGCCTTTCTATTTGTACCAGTTGAGTTGAGTGCGTCTGCCCATAGTTTTTAATTTGAAGGAATATAAATTCATGTATGCAACAGAGATAGCAATAAGATAGAAATGACTATAAAAATCAACAAAAAAAATTAAAAACAAGGTCTATGGTTACTAACTTGATCAGTAGACAAAAAAAGTGATCATTCAGTTGAAACGAGCGATGTCGTAGGCGAGACATGTGATTGTTGAGCAGCAAAGAATTCCTTTATTTTCTTCATTTCTTTCATCTCATCTTCTATGGTAGACAAGTGATCATGTATGGATTTGTTTTCCTCACTCAAAGATTTATTTTCCTCTCTAGTTGAACGCAGCGCGGACAGTAATTCAACCTTTGAAAAAGTGCCACCTTTCATGTCATTCGCCGTTACTCCACCCCCAAAGCCAATACATGGCTACAAGTTTGAGGTCCACAATATTTTTCTACTATCTCTATGCTAGGTAGAGACGGATCCGATTGAACTATTTCTTCAATCTGACCTTACAAAACATACGAAGAAATATTTTATACCAGAATCCATATCATTTTAATTAATTTACTTATTTAATTTTCCGAATATACATATTATTCAGTTGCTTTAGGTTCAACAAGCTTGTTATTTTTCTTACCAATCTCAAAGATAATTATTGCCAAATCTGGTGGATTGCAGTCTTTTCCGTCCTTCACATCAAAGGCAAACATGTCAAAAGACACCTCGTAAATATTTTCTTTAAAAAAATAGAGATTTTATGATAATACCTTTTGATAAATTATCTCGCGAATAGGTTTGCTACCAATATGATGAAGCATTTTCAACTTAGATCGGTTTGCTGCATTCCTGATGCTTCTCGCCTTTGTGAAACAATAAGCTTATATATAATTATTATAATAAACTTAAATAGTATACTTAGGTTTGATTCTAGGTATAGCAGAAAAAAGATATATGGTGCTAGGGAGGGAAATCAAACTACAGATGCTTTGGCAAAATAGAATATTAAATCAATGGGCATACCTGAAAACTTTCTGAAGAAAAATGTTCCTTTACTAACCACTCTCATTCTTTCTTGTCTACTCCCTTTAGAATATTCTTAAGAGCCTGATAGATTAGCTTATCCTTCACATATTTAGCATGCAAGTGTCCTCTCCATTTGTTCCATAACTCTTTCATCCATCCCAATATAATATCATGATGATCAATCATATCAACACTCTCAAATTTATCCTACAATAATCAAAATATCCATTGAGTTAATGCATTACAAGATAAATAATGCACTGTTCAAATATGATCATGATGATCATAGAAATTTTCTGGTGTGGAAAAATAATGCACTGTTCAAACTAATATGCAAGCACTAAATTTGATAAGCTGCTCCATATTGTTAGTTATTATTGCATGAAAGTACAGCTAGAGAGCAGACGATGCAAAACTCCATTTGATAAAATCTTCAAAATACATATTATTTGGGATCTTTCATAACATAAATGACAAATCTTCCGGAACATGATGAATATAACATAAATAACAAAACAATATCTTTAGGACTACACATTCAGATGGACTTGAATAATAGTGATAGTACAAAAAATGATACAAACCCAAACCTTCATACATATTGTAAACAAGTATTTCATTGAAAAAGAGAAAGACCAAGCATAGAGATGTTGTAGTATCTGTTTATTGGTTGCATATTCCTTTTCCAAAGGTTCTGAGTCAAACAAGCTTCAAAAAAAAGTGCAGCCCAGATGAAACAATCTACTTTTGTAGGCAACTCTATTTTTAATACTAATTTCCTTGGCAGTTCAATTTCAGATTCAGTCTTTTATCTTTTTCAGCTTGTGTAAGACAGACGTCTGCTCTACTACTAACAGTTCATATAGTGCTTTGCTTATTTTTGCATCAACCTTGCCAAATACCTCTTTCTACTGCTAGCAGTAATGTTCTTTCTAAGACTCCCTAGCTTTCGCATAAGTAAGAAGTATGGACATCCCTCACTAAGTAACTTTGCAAAACCACATCTTTTTGAATTTGAAATTAGAAGGATTGACTTACCAGTTTGGAGGTGCTATCTTTTCTAGAAAAAAACATTTTTGTTTTCATATGTTGATTTTACTTCAACTACTAAGACACAAGGTTAACACCATTGAGTAGGCTTCATCGAGTCGAGTATCAACAAGTTGCATCCATTGCTTACTAGGTGCCATAACCTTGGAGAGTAGATAAAAATTAGATTAAAAAAAGATAAAGAATAAGAAAAATACTAAGATACGCAATACTTATTACGATCAAATGCACAAAACTGTGTGTTGAACTCTAAGGTTGCACTAGGAGATTAGGCTCCCTTTTTTTCCAGCTAATGCATTGCAATGTACAATCAGTTGGCACTAAGATAAATAAAAGATTATAAATTAACTTGTAATTAAGATGCTAATTCCTAAAACATGTATACATGGTTGCTTCTGGCCCGCCCCGAGATCGAAGTAAGTACTTACATCCAAAAAAAGTGCAAACAATATAGTTTACGACAAAAGATCATCCAAAATATCGCTTGCAACTAAAAAGTCTGCTTGTTAGTGAATTACCCTGAGTTCTTAACATGTATCATAATCATGTTCCCTGCTATTTCTTTCTTCTTATAGACAAACACTCATATTTCCCTAGATAAGTTATTTGGAAGAAATATATTTGTGAATACACTGTTAAAATGTCTTACGATATAAATGCATTTACTTTAAATCTTTTCAGAGGTAAAATAAAATTTTCAATAGGAGTAACAATAATTTTTTTAAAAAGCAAATCTGGATATTTTTCATTTTAAGAAATTGTTCAAAGACAAAACAAACTCACATTAACTACTCCTATTAGACAATAATAACAATATTTCCTGTTGATCTCTTCAATAACAGAGACAAAACCTCAATTTTAAAGTAAAAATCAAGAGATTAGAACCTAAGCTTAGTAAAAAACCAAGGATATTTCCCGGTCTTAAACCTTTCCTCAAGCCGAGCTATAGCTTTCTTAGCAGCAGTAACCTTCTTATCACGAAACTGAAGAACATCTACACTAACAACATCCTTCAGATCTACATCAAGTGTATAACGAGTCGGCATAATATGATTGCAATTAACGAGCTTAATAAAAGCCTTAACTCGTGATTTCTTTCTTTTTTTGGCTGAATCTTATCGAATTACTTTTTTGGATATTTGCTTATACTTGTAAGTAAACAATGGCCGTATGGTCTGTCTGTTGTTCCTTCATCGAATACACTAAAATTATATCTCAACACTCATAACATAAAACTAAATCTGTCATTCATGAAATAATTTGCTTTTTCGATATTCACTTTGTATGAAACATAATATTCAGACACATGCTAAAAACTTGAATACACTTCAGAGAAATCAAATTTAATGTTAGAGAAGAAGAACAACAACAAGAGGAAGAAGAAGAAGTTGAATAAAACGAAGCAATAAAGCGAATTCCAACTTATAGAAGAAACAGAGCAACTCAGAAGAGGAGGCATACCTGGGATTCGCAAACGAGCGAGGTTGAAAACTAGGTAGACCTGCGATTCACAAACCAACAAATTCACAACCTTTACTTTGAGAAAACACAGATCTTGAGTTGTGAATAGAGATCTAGGCAGACGACATATGTGTGGATGTTTAGAAACTAGGGCAGAGCTGGGAGTTTTGTTTTGGGAAAACAGAGAGTTTCTTTTAATTTTTTGGAATTTTTAGTTTTAGTATATTAGTTTTGGTGCCTATTTTTTAGAAAATTAGAAAATAATAATTTTTTAATATTTTAATATTATATTTAGCGGCAGTTCTCCCACCAATCGCCCCTGTTGGCACTATTAATATCATTTGGGACCAGTTATTAATTTCTTTTGGGACAAGATTTAGTACCTTCGCTATAGAATATAAAATTAAGGACCACAATATAATGTCATCCCAATACATATACTTTTAGAGATGGGATTATTAACTCGTCCCAAAATGTTGGTCGCAGATAAGGCTTTTTCTTGTAGTGGATGTACCGCGACTTGAAACAACATTATTGGTGGCGCAGAATGAAAGAAAGATATTGTCAGTCATGTCTTTAGGTATTTGAATTGCTAACAAGTAAAGTACGAGCATCAGACATTGGAGATAATAGAGTTGAAGTGGGAGTGCATCACTATGGATTTTGTGGTAGACTTACCACAGACCTTTAGGAAATATGACGTTGTTTGGTTTATTGTGGACAGATTGACTAAGTTCGCACACTTCATTCCGGTGATGACTTCCTATTCTTCAGAGAGGTTGGCTCAGATTTACATCGGGGAGATTATGTACTTGCATGGTGTACCCATATTTATCATTTTTGACTGGGGTACACAGTCAATTTTTGGAGATCCATGCAGCGTGAGTTGGGCATATATGTCGAGCTGAGTACCATGTTTATCCTCAGACAGACATACAATCTGAGTGCACTATTTAGATCTTGAAGGACATGTTGCAGGCATACTCTATGGATTTCAGGGGTCAGTGGGACCAGTTTATACCTCTAGAGGAGTTCTCCTACAACAACAACAACTATCAGTCGAGCATCTAGATGGCTCTATAAGAGGCCTTATATATGAGGCGATGTCATACCCGATTCGCTTGTTTGAACCCGGCGAGGCTAGATTGTTCGGAACTAATTTTGTCCGTGATGTTTTCGAAAAGGTTATGGTGATTAAGGAGAAGCCTTGTACGGCTCAGTCCATGGAAAGAGTTATGCGGGCTGGAATGTTCGAGATGTGACCAACATGGCAAGTGACAAGGTTCTTCTCTAAGTTTCGCCTATGAAAGGCATGATGTATTTTGGGAAGAAGGAAAAGTTGAGTCGGAGGTTCATTGGGCCGTTTGAGATCTTGTATAGAGCTGGAGAGGTTGCTTATAGGCTTGCATTACCTCCTAGTCTAGCTGGGGTACATTTGGTATTTCACATCTTCATGTTTTGGAAGTACCATGGAGATAGGTGACATGTTTTAGACTTCATCACGGTACAACTTGATGAGAATTTGACCTTTGAGGAATGGTCGATGGCTATTATAGACCCGTAGGTTCAAATGTTGAGGTATAAGAGGTTCCCTTCTGTGAAGGTGCATAGGAGAGGTCATCCGATTAAGGAGGCTACGTGGGATTCTGAGTCAGACATGCGAAGTAGATACCTACACCTTTTCACCAGTCCATGTATATTTCTCTGTCCACTTGAGGATGAATGTTTCTTTTAGAGATAGAGAATGTGATGACTTGATAGGTCGATTTGAGTAATATTCTTTACTTCTATGTTCTGAGACCTCTCATAGACTTATTTGATGTAATATGACTTGCGTGCATGGTCCGTATTGTTTTTCGAAAAGTTTTTATGTGATATTTTAAAGAAAAAGTGATTTTTTACTTAAAATGAGGCTAGAGTTGACCATGGTCAACATTTTGGTAAATACATTGGATCAGTGTTTTGACTGTTTCTGTATGTTCATATAATGTTTTGGACTTGTATGCATATTTGTTTGGGGTCCTGGGTGACCCAAGTGCATTTTGGCGCATTGTGTAAAAATTGGAAAATATTTGAGTTGTAAGTTGAAAATAATGCATTTTGATGATTGATTCTTGATATTTGATGTTATTTTGATAATTTGAGTTAGTGAGCGAGTTTGTATGATGTTATTTCACTTCTATGGATGCTCGGATTGGATCCCGAGGGTCTTGGTGAAGTTTCAGATATGTTTTGGGATGTTTTGGAGTGGCTGAATAACAGCTGTTTCTGGTATGGATGTGTAGATCTTGCATGTGCAAGGTCCTGCCCGCAAATTTGAGCATTGCTTTAGCGGTCAATGTATCGCATTTGAGAAATGGGCTTGGGATGGGTGTGTTCGCATTTGCGAGGCAGGTTCTCTTCTGCAGAGATTGGGCATTCACATTTGTGAGCATCTTTGTCGCATTTGCGACCCCTCAACGTTTAGTACAACTTCACAGTTGTGAAGCTAGAATCGCATTTGCGCACATGGGGTGTGTCAAAATGTGAGGCTTTTGCAGGCTTTTGTTCGCATTTGAGGGACTGTGGCATAGTTTGTACTTGCGGATTGTGGCATAATTTGCATGGGGGTTGTCGGAAATATGAGGGACAGTGGCACAATTTGCATTTGCGAACTGTAGTTTGCATTTGCAGGCCTCAAAATTCTGAACTAGCCCGTTGTCGCGCCCCAGGGGTTCTACGTGTGAAATTTCTTTTAAATGGGTGTTAAAAGAGAAGAGTCGCCACCCAACGATTTTTAAGGTGCGTTAGGGCACCGATTTGCAAATAACTTTGTTTTAACTAGCCTGTGTCAGGAAAGATCGGGTAAAGACTCAAATTACCTCAAAGAGAAGGTGTTAGTCACTCTTCGATGTCGATAACTATGGGTCCCGACCAAAATTAATGCTATGTAGGATTATTAGATTATAATTGTCCTATGTGACCAAGTAAATTAAAGGAAAGTAGGGAATTCAAATATTTGACTACAATACAAAACAAGTGTGAAGAAGATTGCACGTATGAAGGAATTAAAGAATACATTAATAAATTATGAGTACAAGTCATTGGAGATTACAAAGTACAATCTAAGTTATTCTAAGTCTGAAGAAACAAAGATGCGAGCGATGGCCATATTGGGGCGAGGGATCCTATGTTTATTAGCCTAAAGGATCATCCTGTGCAACATAAATAATTTTCACAACTCCCTTAAGCTAGGGGTTACTCATATTATTCACCAGACACAGACTATCATCTCCTGCTACCTGATTACTATGTTGAAGTTGCTTACCTAAAATGCTCTAGTTCAATTCTAGGTTGTATTTATGTGTGCACTACTCGTCCCGTGCTTATGGTTCAGGAGGCTTTGGACCTATTATTTGGGTGGTTATAGTCTTTACTTAGGGTGCTAAAAATGATAAAACTAGGCACACATCCAAAATAAGTAGGACTACACATAATAGTAATGAATGGCTCAAGTTAGCTTTCACAGATAAGCAACAAAAGCATGCGAACAGATTTCAGATTCTGCAATAAGCAGTTTTAAAATCGAGATGTATTGGAGTCATTTATAACCTATAGGCACGTCTTCTATATGACCACAAAGGTTTAAAAACATCTCATGGGTAGTGCTGCTCTTCAGATTATCGAAATTACAGATTGAAACTGTTATAAAAAAAGTTTATAAACATGATTTGTAAGTGATTCGCACCTGGGGCAGTGAAGCTATTGGAAAACTCAAAATTACTCATTTTTTTATCATATTGGCATGCTTTCTAAACGAGTAACAGTATCCTATAGGAGGTTCTCTAATAATTGGTATTTGAACACAGATTTGTTGTGCTTATTCCTATAGGCATGTTTTCCAGGCGGCAGTGTGATAAGAAGAACAAACAGCAAATTAGTTAATCAATTAAGGCCCTATAGACATGGTATCTAGATGAGTATTGGCGGAAGCATATCTTAATTACTTAACCTGATCCTATAGGCATGTTAACTAATAATCATACTACAATTGCACCAGTTGAGCAAATAATGAAGGATGTTTGGTTCCTATAGGCATGCTATCTAATAGTGCATAGAAGTAAGCATGTTAACAAGTGAAATACATAGGTTCTTATAGATATGTTTCTGATAGTGTGCGGGAATAGGATATGTAAAGCAAGTGAAGTGCTTAAGTTCCTATAGGCAGGATTTCTATTAGTTTATAGAAATAAAGCACATCAAACAAATAACAGACAAGCAATTACACCCTATCGACAAGTTCTCTACGCATTCTTGCAATTATTAGAATACCCAAGCCCACATATTTACTAATTTCCCCATCACTCAGTTTTACAATTTATTACAAACCACATTGAATACTTATAGGCCCAATTACAACATATAGAATAACCCCGTAACATCTGGGCCTTCGCATAGGCTTAGAACATCATGCGGACAACATGCCCAAACTCCAGGTGCGGACAGTGTACTTCAGACCTCCAGTACAAAAAGCAGGCCCAACATACTAGGCATAAATGACTGCCTTACCTACCCATTTGAATACCAAACTAGCCTTAATAATACGAGTGACAAACTATATGCTAGATCAATTAAGCAACATTGAAATCTAAGCACTTAACCTTTAAGGCTGTAAGGAATAGAGGCTTCTCAACTAGAGGCATACAAACAGGATTACTCAAAACTCTCAACAAGGTTCACTATTGGTTATTTGTAAGAAATAGAGGGTTCTCAATCGGATCACCTCTCCTATGCACCTTCACAGAAGGGAAACTCTTAGACCTCAACATTTGAACCTTCAGGTCATAATAGCCATTGACTCTTCCTCAAATGTCAAATTCTCATCAAGTTGTTATGTGATAAAGTCTAAAACATGTCACCTATCTCCATGGTACTTCCAAAGCATGGAAACGTGAAATACCGAATGTACCCCAGCTAGACTAGGAGGCAATGCAAGCCTATAAGTAACCTCTCCAGTTCTCTACAAGATGTCAAACGGCCCAATGAACCTCGAGTTCAACTTACCCTTCTTCACAAAATGCATCATGACTTTCATAGGCGACACTTAGAGAAGAACCTTCTCACCTGCCATGTTGGCCACATCTCAAACCTTCCAGTCTGCATAACTGTTTACCTGGACAGGGTGAAATACCACCACATTGTTGTGCTCTCGCATACGACTA